GACTTGGGGTCCAGAATGTTAATTGTGGGTAGTTTGTGATCTGTGCCTAATTTTCTTGCATAACCTATTATGATGCGGACACTAGATAATTACAAACTTATCAATTGTGATTTGTGATCTTAGATTCTTGGATATAGTTTCCTTCCATTGATCAATTATTATGATGTGAACACCTATTTTGATTTCTAAAGCCTTAAGACATTAGAAAAAACTGAAAGAAGATTGTTGGATGTAGTTTCCTTCCATTGATCAATCATTTGATGTATTTTCCTTCAGATGGTGTTTCTTATATTTTTTAGTTGTGAGTATAATTAAATTAATAAACTACCTTATTTCCTGTGTATCCATGGGATAGGTCTGTTTGATATCCAGAAAATGCTTAGTAATGGTCGGACAAGTGGGAATGCTGGGTGAATCAGACAAGGTTGGGTACAGCTGGGATCATCTTTGGACTTTTGAGTAGTACTACAATAGATTATGCTTATGACCCACTCAAACTGGTCTAAGGAGTAATTGACTTGAGACTAGTGCAAGTTGCATGTGTTCTTGTTAAGTCTTATTAAGGTCTTGCCCCGAGGTTAATAGGGTTTATAGCTGTTTCTAATCCTTAGACTGGTCTTTATATTTTTTGTTGTTGATTACCATTTTGACTTGTTGTAGACTTTGCTTTTGGGTTTTACTTGGAACTATAGTTGAAAGCTTAAAAGCTGCTAAAAACGTTAGACCTATTGCATGTTAAGGATTTTCAACTTGTTATCTTGTTTTATGAGTGAAAACTGCTTGATAAATACACTCAATATTTTGTCTGTATCTGTCCTATTATAAGAGTAGCTCTTTTAATATGTCTAAAATTTCAAATTAGAATGATATACATTTTATTTTTGAAATAAGAATGATGGGGATGATTGGATAGGATTAAAACTCGTGGTTTATAGCCGGATGATATGATCCTTTTGAGCCCTAGGTCCCACTTTGTCTCTGCTGGATCTGTTTGTGGGACTACCTTAGAAAAAAGGAATTTTTCCTCTACCCAACAATTATGGGTTGAGATGTGAAAGCTCTTTTGTCCTTGTATGTGCAAGTGTAAAATGGGAGAGTGGGGAGCTCATATTTGGTGTTTTGAATAAGATGATGTTTTCATTGTTTATTTATTTATTTATTTTGTTTTATAAAGACTGCCTCAAAGGCCATTGTTTTTCCCTGATGTTGGAAGATTGAATATCTTAGCATGCATGTAATTATTAATCTCCAAATGCACATATTTGTTTGTTTTCTGTTGTTCTTTTGCTACCATTGCTGTTTTGTTTTCGTTGTCCTTTCATGTTGGTTGGATTTTAATACAGTTCTCTTTTTTCTACAGTTGAATAGGGTTGTCACAGGACCAAGAAATCCCGGAGTTATTGGTGATAGATCTGGATCTTTTTCAAGGGAAAGTAAGTAGAATTATGCCATTTTTATGCAATTATGTTGCAGTTATAATCTTTATTAATGAATGAACAAGGTAATGTTGATTGATATTTGAAAAACAATAGAATTTTTATTCCACTTTTTTGGTTGAAATTTTTCAACCCAAGCACCCCTCAGCCCCTCTCCCTGGAACAGCAGTGCCACCCTTTATAATAGTTTTTTTATTTCTTTTGTTCTTTTGACCCTCTAAATTTTTTATTCACTGAGTAAGACTTGAGACAGGGCTTTTCTGCTGAGGACTTGATTGTTGGTCTGGAAATTCTTAATATTGCCAATTTATGAGGCATATTTTTTTTTTGGGAAAAATTTTGAGACATTCTTTATTTGTTTTATTTGGATGTGATAATCTTTTACATAGAAATGTATCTGTACTAAAACCAAATGACAATAGGATGAAGCTGCTACTAGTTTTATTGTAATCCATGTGAAATAATGCCACGTAACACCCTCCCTTTTTTGTAGGCTTAATAATAATAACCCAAACAAATGTGCCTACTATGGGGGCAATAAATATGGGTAGTAAACAATGAATAACAAACAACTTGGAGTTTGATACCTTGTAAAGAAACAAAAACAGTAATGGAGGTTTGGTATTTCTATGTTGGTGATGCTTTTGATGGAAACAGGTTTGGTATTTCTCTTACAGTGCATTTGCATCATTACAAAGTTTTGTTAATCTGGTTTTGTATATTAGAAATTTTCAATTTAATTTATGTTACTAAATTTTGGTAACTAAAGGATAAAAATTTTGATGTAGATGGCATCTATTTTAAAGGGCTTCTCCTCTTTCGTAGGCTATCCATGGCTAAAGATTTTCCTAGATGCTACTTTGTAAAGAAGGCAACTTTAGCCTTAACTTCTGTATTCCTTGCTACTTTCCTGGAAAATGCCCTTTACCACCCAAGTAGTTTATTATATTAAGTAGTGCAACTTTATTTGTTGTTATTTTGTCTTTAAATGTTTCTTGGTACTGTTTTTTTATATTTTCTTTTTCTTTTTCCTGTTTTTCTTTCTATCAGTTTCTTATTGTATCTTGGTACAGAGTTTACATTTGGTTAAACTGTTCGACTTGTTTTGTCTTTCTGAAGCACTGCAATTAGCCTTGCCTTTTTGTGTTGCTACTTTTGAAGCACATGCTTTATTCATTGATGCCTCTCTTC